CCACACGCACTTCCACGCCTGACCGGCTGGACGCCAGGAAAGCTGGCCGGCTGGGGCGAGTCGGAAGTGCCGGGTCTATTTTAAATCGCAAACACTTCTGGTATCTGTAGCCCCGGCTGCCGGAGCGAATTTCTCCGCTTGTATCGACACCAGGCTGCTCACGTCACTCTGACACACAAATCACACGCCCAAAGTAGCAACAGATCCAGAAAGGCTTAATAAAAACGCTGTAAACCTGAGTACTTCAACACTTAAAAAAAACCGCGCTACCAAAACACTCCGAAAACGGCTGCAATTAAACAACCGCCGACGCAAGAGGCGCGGAGCGATCAGGGAGACAGACGTGTGAGCGCGGCCTCATCTGCTGGCGCTCCGCGGGCTGGGCATCGACGGCTCCCTGACCCCCGGCCCACCTCCTTTACCCAGGCTCAGCTCCCTGAGCCCCGGCCTACCTCTCTGACCCCCGGCCCACCTCCTTTACTCCGGCTCAGCTCCCTGACCCCCGGCCCACCTTCCTGACCCCCAGGCCATCGAGAGGCCAGGCACTGCCAGACGCTCACTAAACTGCAATGCACATGGGCTGGGAGGCAGAGGGGCCCCGTGGTCCCCGCACCCAGCTCTCCTGAGGGTCACCGAGCCCCTCTCTGGGGCAGGCCCTGCTGGGCTGGGGACACGGGGATCAGCGAGGTCCCTGCCCTCACAGGCCCGTGGTCTAGCAGGGAGACTGATGGCCAGCGTGAGAACACGGCTCCTGAGGAGGCAGCTGACGTGGCCAGCACCTGCGCTGCAGATGAGCCGAGGGTGTGAGAGCCATCTGGATCCCCAAGCGGGTCCCGGGAGAGCGGAGGAGGGTCCCCAGTGCGATGACTGAGCTGTGACTGGCGGCTGAGGAGGAGCTGGATGTCCGGGGAACACGGCGCTGGGAGGGAGGGAGGGAGAGGCCCCAGCAGCTAATCACACAACGGATGCCTGAGAAGCCCCTTTCCACCAGACCACCCTAGGCCAGTATGAGGAGTCCTCCCCGCTGCCCGTGCCATCTCCACCCCCAAACCAAGGTCAAGGTGCCTTTCCAGAACTTTCCCAAAGGAACCATCACTGTACACAAAGCTGGCCTGCTGGCCCCCTGAGCTCTCTTGGGAATCAGGTCATGGGTGGAGGTGGAAGTGGGGGTGGCGGGCTGAACACGGCTCAATACACGCTGGGGAGCACCAGGCCCCACTGGAGCCAACCAGGCCAGAGGAGTGGCTAGGAGGCGGAAGGACAGCATCGTGGGAGACGGGAAGTCTGGGCTGCAGTTCCCCTCGGCTGCAGCAAAAGAGAGACAGCGAGACCCAGAGGGAGGGTAGCCCTGGACAGAGACACCAGGTGAACACGCACGACAAGGCACTGGTTTCTTGCCTCAGACAGCAGACAACCCCCAACCTTTTGTCCCAATCCCTGGGGTGGCCATAGCCCCAGAAGCCCTCTGGCAAGTGCCCCTGGCCGCTCTCTCGGGACGTCCCTACTAAGCTCCTGACGGCTGGCATCATTCCGCACCTCACCCGCCCTCACCCCAGCACCCAACTCTCAGAAGCCCTGGTGGCCCCTCCACACACCTGCATCCACCCGGGTCTCTCTGGCTGCACCCTCTCCCACTGGACCACAGGCCCCCTCAAAGCCCCCTCACTGGTCTCAGCCCCTCCATGACCCCTCAGTTCTCCCTGTGGCAGCAAGTGCCCTGGCAACAACACACACCGGCTCCCAGAGCTTCCCACCAGACCCTCCAGAGGCAGCCGCAGCACTTGGGGGACATCAAACGAAGCCCCTCGCAGACCTGCGACACCTCCACCACCCTTCCCGAGAGCCTCGGGGCCTCCACGCGGCTGGCCCCTCTGTGCCTGGTTGACCCGGAGAGGCCTCCCCCATCTCCTTAGGAAGCTTCGACCCTCCTGAGACCAGGGCCATCCCTGGAACCCTCGCTGGCTGCCCACCATGAGGCCGCACCCCATGGGGGAATGGCGCTTGGCCCCCAAACGGGTAAGGGTACAATGGCAGGGCCTCGGCTCAAAGCTCAGCAAGCATGTGCGGGAGACACAGCTTGGACGGCAACTTGTTTCTTTCTCCTTTTTCTATTTTTGTTTTAAGGAATAAGTGGGGTTTTCTCCCTTAAAGTCTCTCTGGCTGGTGGACCCTGGCAAGATCGCATGTCCGCTCGGGGCTGAGGGACGCAGCGCCAGCCTCAGCCCCGCGCAGTCTGGACTCTCCTTGTTCACTTTGCTATTCCCAGAGGGGGCTCCAGGATGATCAGTGCCGGTGGAGGAGTCTATAAAAAGGATGAAAGAACCCGGGAAATTTCCACAACAGCAGAGCTAAGACACCGCAGCGGCGGGGAAGGGTGGGAGCGCCACCTAGTGGCCCTCAGAGGGCAGGACTCACAGAAGCACCTCAGAGCCACCGGGCTGCTGGTCCCACCACACGTCTGCCCGGCACCAAGAAGCACTGTCCACCCAACAAGCCGAGCTGGGCTCTAAACACACGCAGACACAGACACACATGCGTACACACACAGAAACACAGATACACAAAGACACGTGCGCACACAGTGACACACACGGACACACATACACACACATACACACAGATACACAAAGAAAGACACGTGCACACACAGACACACAGATACACAAAGACAGACACGTGCGCACACAGAGACACACGGACACACAGACACACAGATACACAAAGACAGACACGTGCACACACAGAGACACATGCACACACAGACACACAGACATGTGCGCACACAGACACACAGATACACAAAGACAGACACGTGCACACACAGAGACACATGCACACACAGACACACAGACATGTGCGCACACAGACACACAGATACACAAAGACAGACACGTGCGCACACAGACACACACGGACACACACACACACACAGACACACACACACTCTATGCAGCTGCAGGGCCACCGGGAGGACCATCACGAGCCAAGAGTCCCTCAGGACAGAGCTGGGCCTGGAGAGGAGCCGGGAGGCTGGGGACTCGCCTGGTGGCAGGACGGCTGAACTGAGGACAGGCCTCCAATGCCCAATGGGCTGCTCCTGGTGCCCACGGGCTCACCTCGAAGGCTGAGCCTCTGTGCCTTGCTCACTCCAGCCCCCTCTCTGCAAAGCGTTAGAGTGTTTCCCTGAATTTCAGGCAGACGGGAGAACAACCAGAAGCCCGGCGGCCCCGCCCAGGACAATGCTTCACACGGCTGTAGCTTCATCTCACACGCAAACCCATGCAGGGCAGCCCGCCTCTCCACCAAGACGGCAGGAAAGAGGACGGGGGGCATGGCACGTGGGCTGGGAGCTGCGTGGTGGGGACAGAGATGGGCACCAGGCTGGGATGAAGAGCCCTGGGTTCAAATCCCAAAATCCAAACCAGCCCCGGGACCACTGAGTCAGCCCTGACTCGTGTTGTCCCCGTGGGTGTCAGAGTAGAACTGTGCTCCATCGGGTTCTCAGTGGCTGACTTTTTGGAAATAGATCACCAGGGCTTTCATCCTAGGCACCTCTGGGTGGACTCAAACCGCCAACGTTTCAGTTAGCAGCCAAGCATATTAACTGTTTGTACCACTCAGGGACTTTGGTTCAAATCCCAACCCCTCCCCCCACCTCAGGATGCCTGAGGGGGGTAGGTACCAGGCGGTCTATAAATGGGGCGGGAACCCCTTCTTCCGCAGGCAAGCACCGAGGAGAAAATGTGGGTGGGCTGCTTCATAAACTCTCAGCAACCTACTTTCTTGCACAGGATTCATGCTAACGGCAGTGGGGTGGAGGTGGAAGCAGGGGTGGACGTCCCCGTCTCTCCTCCTGTGGCCTCCCTCCATGCAAAGATGGGGGCCAGGATGCAGTGCGCAGGGGTATCTCCCAGCTGGGGACCCCACACACTCCTGGAGGGAAGGGGCCACCTTGGCCAGGGTGGCCTGGACTCCCAGCCGTGTGTCCGCGCTGTATGCCCTGCGCCGTATAACTCAAGTCATTGCTGGGTTGCTCCTCCCCGCAGCTCTGAGTGGTGACGGTTACTGTGGCGACAGAACCTTCTAAGAGCTTGGGGGTGGGGGGGCGAGGAGATGCACAGCACCCAGCTCAGAAGTCACCACGGACACTCAGTAAGGAACAAAGTACACCACAGCACACAATCCCCTGAGGGGGAGCCAGATGGGACGTGAGGGCACCCTTACCACTGCCAAGCAGGGGAGTTGAGGAGATGGGTCATGCTGGATGCCTCCGCTCATGGGAACAGAAACCCTTTCTCACGTGGAGGGGCTGCAGGCAGGACCACCTCCCACAGCCCAGCCGGTGCAAGCTCCCAGCAGAAGGGGACTGCTGTGAAGCCCCAAGGTCTAAAGCTGAGAGGGGGCGAGAGGAAGCTCAGGCGTGGCGCAGCCGCTGCGCTGAGGGCTACCAGACGCTGCAGGGCCCCACGGAGACACCCAGCACCCCAGCCACACACGGCGGAGGTTGGGAAGATTCCACTGCAGCCGCTGCACTGAGGGCTACCAGAGGCTGCAGGGCCCCACAGAGACACCCAGCACCCAAGCCACACATGGTGGCGGTTGGGGAGATTCCACTAGATGTGGCTGCAGGGACACCAGAGCCACATCCAGAAGCCTGGCCCAGGAACGGCTCAGCATGAGGGATTCTGGAGGGCAAACCACATGCCCCAGAGATCTGGAAGCTTCCTTTCGGGGGGTGGGGGGGAGCATGTCTCCCCATCCCCACACCTGGTAGATAAACTGAGGCTGCTGCTGATGCCAGCTGGGGCTGGGCCAGTGGGTCTTGGGCGGCCAAAGCCCCAACCTTTGCCTCCGCACTGGGCTCAGCTGTGTAACTCGGGGGTTCACAGAGAAGGTGGTCCCTGGCCTTCCTGCCCCAGAGTACCCTCCTGTGCGGCCCTGGTCCCCAGGAGGAGCCGGGCGCCCCGAGCGCCACCCCCGTGCGCTGGGCCAGCACTCACCAGGACTTGGGCTCCCCGAAGTGCAGGTAGTTGATGCTGTACAGGTCCATGTCCTCCGTGTGCCAGGCGAAGGTGGTCTTCCACATGCCGAAGTACAGGTAAGGCGTGTTGACACCCTCGATGACGGTGCCGCACTCACGCTCCACCATGTCCAGGATGGTCTGCAGGCTCCCGATGTTCCACTGGGCCACGTCCTGCAGGGCAGCGGGCACGCCGTCAGAGCCCACACCCGCCCAGGCCGCGTGTCCGCCTGGCAACCGGGCTGCCCTAGACGCTCACGGTGAGGCCAAATCTCATCCTCTCCAAGTCCCATGGGGCTGAGTGAGCCTCCAAAGAGGGCAGGAGCACCAGGGACCCCATCAGCCCAACCCCAAACTGCCCACTCAGATGCTCGGCCACGTCCTCATGTTTAACCCCTCCAGGCGCTCTTCATGCCTGTAGACCTGGGTCTGAAGGGTTAACCACTAGCCCACACCACCCGCCTGCCCATGCCAGAACTTTCTAGGGATTCCAAGTTGAGCACGCATGGTGAGGGCCTCGGTGTAGAGTGTGCTGTTGGGTCGTGACTTACTAACATGCCTCTGGAGCTCACGGCAGAGGGGACAGTGCAGGCTTCCCAAGTCGGCCAGCAGACAGATGTCCCCAGACTCATCCACTCTAAGGCCACAGGCAGGCAAATGCCGCCTGGTCATTAGTGCTCACAGATGCACGGTGATCAGCTCGCAGACCCCGGGGGCCCTCTGAGCCCGGTGGGGTTCTCGGCAGGAGCCCAGACCTGCTCACGAACCTCAGCGTTCTTCCACATCCTCGACCCACCAAGTGCCCCCCCCAGTGGGCGGTGCAGCCCTCAGACGCAACAGGCCCAGTGGTCGCTATGTAAGTTGTACCCAGAACCCAGAAGGAGGGGGCGGTGGTCAGGTCTCCCGTCACAAGGATGGGGAGCCTGTGGTGCCTCCAGGGGCCCAAGGTCAGGGGCAGGGCGACTGGGAACAGCTCACCTCCCTGCCCAGTGCCCAGTGTGATGCGCCTGGCTGCCCAGACCACGTATTCACTATGGACTTGGGGGTGGGGGGTGGGGGGGTAGTTCACTCTGTGACCCGGGCAAGTCGTTTCTTTACTCTGGGCCTCAGCTTCCCCATCTGCAAAATGAGCGTGTTGGACCAGGCCAGGCATGGCAGACACATGGCCCCCTGGAGGCTGTGTGCACTGGACTCATGGCCACTGTCCCCAGCACACACTGATGCTGCTCAAGCAGCTTCCGGGAGGAGGCAGGAACAGTGCAGCTGGGAGCCGGGTAAAGTCAGGGGCTGATCCCTGATGTGGGCTGCTGGGACGCCGCTTCAGGCCTCACCTGCCTCACCTGGGAGATGGGGGCTTGGGACGGCTGGGCCACCTTAAACTTGGGCCAATGATTCATTAAAAACCCCACTCAGGTGGCCACACCCTCACAATGCTCCTGGGTAATACACCCCAGCCCGTTTGTGGACAGCCGGGAGGGTCCCTACACTGCTCAGAGTGTCCCAAGCTTTATTCCTACCCCCCTGCCCACAGGGGACCAGGACGGTGGGCACCACCTGCTCCACAAAGACACTGGGTGGAATGGGGAATGTTCCAGCAAGAGACAGCTCCAGCGTGAAAACACGGGGGCAGACAGGGCCAGATGTTAACCATAGGACCCTCGGTAGAAAGCAGCCCAGGAGAGGGCTCAGTTTGCTGTTGTCAGGAGCCATTGAGTCGGTTCCAACTCACAGCGACCCCATGTACAACAGAAGGAAACACTGCCCGGTCCTGCGCCCTCCTCACAATCGCTGCTATGCTTGAGCCCATTGTTGCAGCCACCGTGTCAATCCATCTCGTTGAGGGTCTTCCTCTTTTTCACTGACCGTCTATTTTACCAAGCATGATGTCCTTCTTGACAGACTGGTCCCTCCTGATAACACGTCCAAAGTACGTGAGGCGAAGTCTTACCATTCTTGCTTCTAATGAGCACTCTGGCTGTACTTCTTCAAAGACGCATTTGTTCGTTCTTCCGGCAGTCCACAATATATTCAATATTCTTCGCCTACACCATAATTCAAAGGCATCAATTCTTCTTCAATCTTCCTTATTCACTGGCCAGCTTTCACATGCATATGAAGTGATTGAAAACACAAGGGCTTGGGTCAGACGCATCTTAGTCCTCAAAGTGACGTCTTTGCTTTTTAACACTCCAAAGAGATCTTTTGCAGCAGATTTGCCCAATGCAATGTGTCGTTTGATTTCTTGACTGCTGTTTCCATGGGCGTTGATTCTGGATCAAAATAAAATGAAATCCTTGACAACTTCGATCTTTTTTCTGTTATGATGGTGTTGCCTATTGGTCCAGCTGTGAGGATTTGTTTTCTTTATGTTGAGGTGCAATCCATACTGAAGGTGGTAGTCTTTGATCTTCATCAGTAAGTGCTTCAAGTCCTCTTCGCTTTCAGCAAGTAAGTTGTGTCATCTGCATAACACAGGTTGTTAATGAGTCTTCCACCAATCCTGATGCCACGTTCTTCTTCATATAGTCCAGCTTCTCCGATTATGTGCTCAGCATACAGATTCAATAAGTATTGTGAAAGGATAGAACCCTGATGCACACCTTTCCTGAATTTAAATCACACAGTATCCCCCTGTTCTGTTCAAATGACTGCCTCTTGATCTGTGTACAGGTTCCTCATGAGCACAATTAAGTGTTCTGGAATTCCCATTATTCACAATGTTCTCCATTATGTGTTATGATCCACACAGTCAAATACCTTTGCATAGTCAATAAAACACAGGTAAACATCTTTCTGGTATTCTCTGCTTTCAGCCAGGATCCACCTGACATTGGCAATGATATGCTTCGACCAACATCCTCTTCTGAATTCAGCTTGAATTTCTGGCAGTTCCCTATCTATGTACTGCTGCAACCACTTTTGAATGACCTTCAGCAAAATTTTACTTGCGTGTGATATTAATGACGGTTTGATAATTTCCACAATGTATTGGATCACCTGTCTTTGGAACGGGCACATATACGGATCTCTTCCAGTCAGTTGGCCAGGTAGCTGTCTTCCAAATTTCTTGCCATAGATAAGCAATCACTTCCAGTGCTACATCCATTTGTTGAAACATCTCAATTGGTATTCTGTCAATTCCTGGAGCCTTGTTCTTTTACCAATCCTTTCAGCATAGTTGGGACCTCTTCCTTCAGTACCATCGGTTCTTCATCATATGCTCCCTCCTGAAATGGCTGAACGTCGATCAAATCTTTTTGGTACAGTGACTCTGTGTATCCCTCCCATCTTCTTTTGATGCTTCCTGTGGCATTTAATATTCTCCCCCTAGAATCCTTCACTATTCCAACTCGAGGACTGAATTTTTTCTTCAAGGCCATAAGCGTTCAGCTTGGTCATGCTAAAACTGGCCCCAGCAGGTCCATGCCAGGGCCTGGCTCACAGGGGGCAGGTCACCCAAATCCCAAATATGGGAAATGACTTTAAAAACTGTCCCCTGGAAAAATAAAACTCAGGCTCACACCTCCCTCTGGGTAACCTCACCCAGTCCTGGAGCGGCTCACACCTCCCTCTGGGTAACCTCACCCAGTCCTGGAGCGGCTCACACCTCCCTCTGGGTAACCTCACCCAGTCCTGGAGCGGCTCACACCTCCCTCTGGGTAACCTCACCCAGTCCTGGAGCAGCTCACACCTTCCTCTGGGTAACCCCGCCCTGCCCGGTGTCCAGTCCGTGCCCCTGGACAGGCTGGAGCACCCTGGGGCCTTCCTGCCTGAAGCAGGGACAGACTTGGACTCAACCTAATGGCTGGCCCAGCAGGATGAGGACTCACACCCATGGTTTCCAAGATGATGCCGTGGTTGGAACTTGAAAAGACACGTGCTGGGATAACCAAGAATTGATAAGAGGACCCCGGGAAAAGGAAGAAAAAAAAAAAACCTAGCAGATAATATTTTTAAAGCCGCTCTGTGGCAGGGCTACTGGAGGCAGCCCCAGAGCGGAAGGTGCCGGAACAGAATGAGTAGGACCCTCGGGATTTGGGAGGAGACATTCCACAAGACAGAAGGCCAAGGGACTCGTTCTTTCCTTGTTCTATGACTTGGCACAGAGCTGCAGTTAGAGCCTGAATGTAAAGTGCAGTAACCTTTCTGCGCAGTTTTAACTTTCTCTATTCCAGATGGAGTCCGCCCCGCGCCCCGCCGCCACCCTGCGCCCCGCCGTCCTGCGCCCCTCCCCCCATCCCCTCCCCTCATCCCCCAGGCCTCAGGCGCTGGAAGGGCCCTCGGTACTTACATCGTCGTACAAGGAGCCGCTGATGTCCGCCCCATAGATGGGTGACACGAAGGTGAGATTCTTCCAGTACTTGCGTTCCAGGTCGTCGAAGTCCTGGTGCCGGGGAGTGCAGTACCTGACGGAAAAGGACAGCAACCCAGCGTGAGGCTCGGAGCACGGGCTGGTGCACCCCGCGACCCACCCCACGGCCACCAAGGAATGCAGCGGAGCCCCGGCGCGCCTCTGGATGAACACACCCCAGGAGGAGCGAACGCATGGTCCCCGCTGCAGGGCACACGGCCCGACCTGGTAACTGATGAGAGAGGGTTTATTCCAGGGGGAGCTGCGTGCAGGCGCCCATGCATACGAGGGAGTCCTTCCCTAAGGAGGTGACGCAGAACCGAGGTGTCACGGGAGGATGTGGTGGGGGGGGCCCCTCCAGGGTGGGGGACAAGACCCAGGCCAGAGGGGGAAGCCCTCGCACCCGGATGAATGCAGTGTCAGGCTCTGCTGCCCCGGCAACACCATGCTGGGACGAGGTTCAGAAGGGCTCTGAGCACGGGCGGGCCAAGGGTCAATGGTGCCCACAGAGCGTCCAGACGCCTTATGGGGAGGTGGCGTGTGCTCCCCATCTATGCAGCCAGGGCTGAATGAACTATGTCTCACGGGGGCGGCCCCGGGGACTGCCTGCAGAAGCGTATCTAAGATACAGTAGGTAGGGCACATGCCCTGGGCACCATGGGAAGGGAGTGCCACCGAGCAGCTTCTATTAGCCCGGCGTCCTTCCTCAAGCACAGCAGACACAGGGCTTAGCGCTGACTCCCCGCCACTATCCACGTCTATTCATCTTGAAATTGGTTGGGGCAGCTTAGGGATCGCCCCTGGGCACTCAAGCTGGGGGGAGAGGAGAGACGTAACTTACGCGTGCTTCACAACTTTGCAGGGGCGTGAGTCCAGGGCTGGCCCTACGTGCTGTTTCCCTAAATATGCCTCTGCCGCCTGCACACCTGAGGCCCCCGCGGCCCCCGGAGCAGACACGCTGGCCCTTCAAGGTGCGGTTCCCCCTCCCCTCGGATACAGCGTGCCGGGACCTGGCCTCAGCACCCGCCCTGGCCCTGCCTGCCGGCCCGGCCCCGCATACTTCTCGCTGTTGGCCAGGCGGCGGTACTCGCCCACGGTCATGGCCTTCTTCTGGATGTTGTACTGCGTGAAGAGGCCCGACTGGCCCGTCACCACCTGCTGGATGGGCGCCGGGATGACCACGTCGTCGATGTCATCGTACGTCTGCCGTGGCTTCCACTCCTTCGGGGGGATGATCTGCGGGGGCGAGCTGGGGTTGGATGCGGGCACAGCACAGCCTCCGCCACGCCCTCCGCAGCACGCCTCCCTGCGGTGGGGCAAGGCAGAAACAGCTGCCCGCCCCCCCAGGGCACCCAGGCCCACCCGGACCCACTGAACCAGAATCCCCCACAGTGGCGCTGGGAATCTACGTGTATTTAACGCTCCTAGGACTCTGGTAAGGAGCCCTGGTGGTGCAAAGGTTAAGCGCTTGGCTACTAACCAAAAGGTTGGCAGTTCGAACACCAGCAGCCCCATGGGAGAAAAGATCTGATGATCTGCTCCCGTAAAAATTACAGCTGAGAAAACCCCATGGGGCGGTTCTACTCCGTCACACAAGGTAACTGCGGGTTGCAATCAACTCGACTGCCCCCAAGGACAATAACAACAGGTCTGTGGCGCCGGGCAGACATGGGCACCCCCACCAGGGCAGAGCTGCGTCCTTGCCTGCAGCTGGGCCCCGGGGCCTGCCCACCTGGAAAGGCACCCCCAGAGCATCAAGGGTCAACTCCAGTACAGATGTGCATGACGATCCACTGAGCTAATATGAGACAGGATTGTTGGTTCAAGGCAGAATTCTTGCCTTCCAGGCGGGAGACTTAGGTTTGCTTCCTGGCCAGTGCACCTCACACGCCGCCACCACCCATCTGTCCGTGGAGGCTTGCGCATTGCTATGCTGCTGAACAGGTTTCAGTGGAGCTTCCGGACTCAGACAGACCAGGAAGAAAGGCCTAGAGATCGACTTCTGAAAATCAGCCCATTAAAACCCTCTGGATCCCAAAGGTCGGCTCTGTCACCAATCACGGAGATAGTGCAGGACTGGGCAAGGTTTCATTCCGTCGCGCACAGGTTGCCGTGAGTCAGAGGCCGACTTGGCAGCTGACAGCAACGAGCTGGGGTTGGGTCTGCGTGTGTGTTGGGGTCTCAGAAATGTGACCTTGGACGTGCTCTTTAAACAGACTCCACTTGCTCTGTCAGAGAAGGCAAACGCTCCCACACCCACGAGGGCCATAACACAGCCTGCACTCACACCCCACACGACAGCTGGGATGACTGCCTGGCCACGCAGACCTTGTAGGCCAAGGGACTGAAGAACTAGGTGGCTGTATTCATCCCAGTCCCGGCTTCACTGAGCACCTGCGGGGTGCGAGGAGATACAGAGAGCACAGACCCCTGCCCTCGGGGGAGGTACATTCCACACAGGAGGGCAGAGGATCAACACTCGGGATAGACAAGCACACAAGGTACTAAGTGAAAAAGTTTTAAGTACTGTGCTGGGTTGAAAACAGTCCCCCCAGATCCATGTCCGCCTGGAATTTCAGAATGTGACCTCATTTGGAAATAGGGTCTTTGCAGATGTAATCAGGTTAAAATAAGGTGACACTGGATTAGGGAGGCCCCATAACCAATGACTGGTGTCATTATAAGAGGAAGAGGACAGACAGACAGACACACAGGGAGAGGTCGTGTGAAGACGAAGGCAGAGGTGGAGCAATGCACCTACACGCCAAGGATCGCCAAGGATCACCGCAAGCCACCAGAAGCTGGAAGAAGCCAGGAAGGATCCTCCCTTAGAGCCTCGGGACAGAGCCAGCCTGCCAACACCTTGCTTTCAGACCTCTGGCCCCAGAACTGTGAGAAAATAATCTTCTGTTGTTTAAGCCCAGTGCGTGCGCTGTGGTGCAGCAGCCCCAGACGCTCACACAGGGACTACGGACCAACTACCGAGGAGCGGGGGCCAGCGCTCAGAGCCTGGGGCCGTGGGGTGACACCCCAGGCAGGACGACCGGGCGGATTCCCCGGGAAGGTCACTTTGAGTAAAGGTGCAGCTAGTTCACTGGCAACCTGGCCCAGCCAGGAGGCACTGTCATGCCTCAGTACTGGGCAGGTTCTAGCTCCTTCCATGGGGGGAAACCAGGGGCTGGCAGGAAGGGCTGGGTGTCTGTGCTTCTGGGAAGTGCCCCAGCCGCCAGGTCACAGGGAAAGGTCCCTGGCCTGGGCGCGGGAAGGGGGTGCTGCGTCCGACACCTCGGGGCAGGGGCAGGACATGCTCCCTCCAAGCTGGGCCTTGGGCCCAGCATGTCCATCCCTCACAACAATGACCTTAGAAGGAGGTACAGCTGTGGTCCTATTGATAGCTAAGGAAACTGAGGCACAGAGAGAATAAACAACCCGCTGGGAAGTGGTGGAACCGGGATTCGGGCCCAGGCTCATGGCCACCACATTCTAGCGTCCTGGGGAGGCCCCAGCCCCACTGAGTCAGCGCGAGCTGGGCAGAGCTAGCTCAAGAGTCGAGACACACAAACAAGGCAGTGAAGGAGAATGATGGTGGTGACCTTCTGAGGCCAGTGGCAGCCAGGCTCAGACGCTACCCGTGTGCTGGGACTCTCCCCACCTTTGTTCTGGGACCACCTGCTCTGGGGAGCCTTGGGGAGGTGTCTTAGCCCCATTCAAGAGATAAGGAAACCGAGGCCACCTAGGGAGCGCGTGCATCCTGGTTCCCAAGCCCCTGCCCTTCTCCCCCAAGCCACCCAGCCTTTCCACCACCTGTTTCTATCCTCGGGTCGGGGTTGGGCCTCGGGGGCGCTGGGCCACACCCCCAGCTGGCGCTGCCGGCCACCTAGGCACTGGGCACACCCCACGCAGTCCCCACGGCCGATGCACGCTGGTGACTCCTGACTCTGGGGTGAGATGGGCTCCAGGACTCAGGCTGGCCGCAGACCAAACCCCCACTTCTAGTCCATCAGCCGAGGGTTCTGGGGGTGTGGGAGGACGGCCATGGGAGAAGGAACCAAACCCCTGCTTCTAGTCCATCAGCCGAGGGTTCTGGGGGTGCGGGAGGACGGCCGTGGGAGAAGGAACCAAACCCCTGCTTCTAGTCCATCAGCTGAGGGTTCTGGGGGCACGGGGTCCTGCCCAGCTCAGGGCCAGCACAGGTGAAGGAACCAAACCCCACTTCTAGTCCATCAGCCAAGGGTTCTGGGGGTGCAGGGCCCTGTCCAGCTCAGGGCCAGCACAGGAGGACGGCCATTTGTGCCGACACTCCCTGACAGCTTCCGGAGCGGGTGGCATCCACCGTCCCCAAGGACTGTGGTATCACGTCGCTGTAAGAACGTGTTTTGTTTGGCAGCGAAAACACTGATCCTCCAGCTGCCTGTTGACAACAGAAGGTGCTGCCCCCGCTGTCAGCAGGCAGGGGGTACTTCCCAAAACATAACAGCAACAACAGGAGAAGTCAGGGCTTCTCAGCCGGCCAACCCTGCCCCCAGGGGACACTGGGCCATGCCCGGGGACATCTGTGGTTGTCACGACTGGGGAGGGGCTATGGCATCGAGGGGGTGGAGGCCAGGGATGCTGCTCAACATCCTACAGTGCATGGGACAGCCCCATGGCAGAGAAGGATCTGGCCCCCGTGTAAGCAGTGCCGGCGGGGAGACACTCTGCATTCGTTATTTGGGAGAATATTGAGTTCAATCCCTGCCCACCAGAATAAATACCTGATGGGCAGGACAGTGTAAACCAGGGGGATCCTCCAGCTCCTGTGATTTTCCTCCTCTCTCCTCCCCACTCAGTGTATGGATTTAAATGTGGGCAGTGTCCTAGGACGTCAGTAGGTCAGATGATTACAGGACACACAGTCTCTTGAGGGGGGGGGTCAGTGGAAACCCCTAATCCAGGGGTTCCCACCCGGGGTGATTCTGCCCCCAGCGGACACTGGGCGATGTCTGGGAGCATGTGTGGGTGTCACGCTGGGAGGAGGTGCTACTGGCATCGAGTGGGTGGAGGTCAGGGATGCTGCTCAACACCCTACAGTGCACAAGACAGCCCCTCCCCAGAGAAGGATCCAGCCCCCATGTCAGCAGTGCCACAGGTGAGCAGCGCCGGTCTAGCATTAAGTGGGGATGGGCCACCTCCCGGAGACGTGACCGTCCCGTCAGGAGCTGGGCTGTGGCTGGGCCTTCACTACCCCCTCTGCACCCAACAACAGCCACAGTGCAGCAGAGCCCTGTGGCCTGTGTCTGTACAAGGCCATGAGCACAGGGCACAAAGGTCATAGCCTGCAGTCTACAGTTAAGACTCTAAGTGGGTGAGCGTTATCTACTAACTAGATAGTAGATAAGAATTATCTTAGGTGAAGGGAAGGACAACACACACTACAGGAGAGCCAGCACAGCTGGACTAAACCAAAGCGAAGAAGTTCCCTGAATACAGTCAAATACTTCGAGGGACAAAGTAGCAGGGGTAGGGGTCTGGGGACCATGCTTTCAGGGGACATCAGGTCAACTGGCATATAAAGTTTATTAAGAAAATGTTCTGCATCCTACTTTGGTGAGTGGCGCCTGGGGTCTTAAAAGCTTGCAAGCGGCCATCTAAGATGCATCAGTTGGTCCCAACCACCTGGAGTAAAGGAGAATGAAGAACACCAAAGACACAAGGAAAGTATTAGCCCAAGAGTCAGAACGGGCCACATAAACCAGAGACTTCATCAGCCTGAGACCAGAAGAACTAGATGGTGCCCGGCTACCACCACACTGACAGGGAACACAACAGAGAGTCCCGGGTGGAGCAGGAGAAAGCTGGGGTGCAGAACTCAAATTCTAATAAGAAGACCAGACTTAATGGTCTGACTGAGACTGGAGGAACGCTGGAAAGCATGGCCCTGGATTCTCTATCAGCCCAGAACTAAAACAATTTCCGAGACCAACTCTTCAGACAGGGATTGGACTGGACTGTGGGACACAAAGTGATACTCGTGAGGAGTGTGCCTCTTAGCTCAGGTAGACACAAGAGACTAAATGGGCAGCTTCTGTCCGGAGGTGAGATGGGAAGGCAGAGAGGGTCAGGAGCTGGCTGAACGGACATGGGGAGTCGGGTGGAAAGGAGGAGTGTGCTGTCACAGTATGGGGAGGGCAGTTAGGGTCACATAACAACCTATGTGTAAATTTTTGTATGAGAGACTAACTTGAAACATCAACTTT